AGGGTCGCGCTGAGCTCTTCCCCGCGACCATTCATGTGGAAGAACGTCAACACGTTGATGCAAACGATGGGGTCTGCAGAAGTAATGTGATTAGCAGGAAGAATGGAGCCATGGCTGGGACTCACCAATTCGGGGGCGGGTGCGGTCAAAGTACGTGGTAACGATGTTGTCCTGGTTGCGATAACTCAAAATCTCGTCCATGACACTTTGCTTCGTAGCTGCGGTGAAATGCGGGGCGACTGAAAGCGCTATGGCAGTGGTATCTTGGTCGCAAGGGAACGACGACGTGGTCAACACGCCTTCACCTTGAACACACGAAAATTAGCCTATATCACTGATGAGGAGATAGGAACTTACTCTTGAAGAAGTTGCTTAACCGTGGATACTCGATATAGTCGACAAGGCTCGGGTCACCGGTAGCTTCGAGGATGAGGAGCTGCGCGAAGTTCTCCTCCAGGACAACACCAGTGTTGGTTTCGGACTTCATCTGCTTCGCGTTTGACCTGAGCCACTGGTTCGCAGCCGCGACGGGATCCCGGAACAACACCTTGAGTTGCCGCTCCACGTCTTCAAACTTGGTGAACACAATCCCCTTGAAGCCAAGAGAGCGGCCAGTGAGGACGTTCTCGAGTTTGTCATCGACGAATACGGTTCGCTCAGGATCGATGCCCGTCTCGGAGAGCACATGCCGGAAATACCCGAGGTTCGGCTTGCGCTCGCGCGCCGCAGCCGACGTGAAGACGTGCTCAAAGAGCTCCCAGTCCTCGCGCTTGCCCTTGTGGCGGAGAACCCCCCAGTCTGGCGCAGAAATATTGGACATGGCGAACAGGCGAGTACCCGATGCCTTCAGCTCATGCAGCATAGCAATCATACTGGGGTCCTCGACAAGGGAGTCGCGCGCGCCCTGGAACGCAGCAGCCACCTCGTTCGACTCCAGTTTGAACTCGCTAGCGACTAGGTCGTAGCACTCAGTCTCGCCGAGATTACCTTTCTCGTACTCGAACCAAGTCGCTGAGCGAAGGATTTTGCGCAGCGTGCTGCCAGAGATGGTGGTCTTAGTCTCTGCGGACCAGGTGAACAGAACGTCGCCGATATCGAGGATGATGTTATCGTATTGCTGCCGCGGGGCGTCGAGGAGGAGCTGCTTCTCATTCAAGGAAGGTGCGGGGGCCGAAGCCGAGGTCGACGAGTATGGAGTGAAGCTTGTCGTGGATTCGGAGGAGCTGGTGGGGGACATGAAGGAGAAGGGTCAAGATTGGGGATTGGATCAACGAAGTTGGAGTGCTACTTGAGTTCTCAGATAAGTGAGCAGTAACAATTATGTCGCCGACGCAGTTAACGGGTATTTCCCGAGTCAGCGAGGTTCCTTTGGTCACAGTCGCCATTCCTGGATTTCAACTCAGCGGGTTAATTGGGGCAACATCATCAATTGCCGATAACAGTCTGGAACAAATAAACAGGCGTGCATTACCAGATCGCCGAGCCTCCCCTGCGCGTCTTTCAATTCTTTGGAAAACATCAAGAAAAAAAAATTTACTTCGCTACAGCCAATGGTTCAGAGTGCCGATAGCTCTGGTAGCCCTTGGTTGATACTCTGTAGCCGACCACCGGTGATCAGTAGCGCCTGATAGCCGACATGCCGTGATCAATAGTGCCGGATACTTGAAAATTAGAAAAGGAGCCTTGTTTTGTCACTCTGCCATAGCATATAGCGAGTGGAGGCCAGGGGCACCGGAAATACGTGTACCAGGCTCGAACTTAAATAGTGGCGGCATGGAACAAGTAAATCTATACAAGAAAATCTACAAGTCATTCAAACTCCGCTGGCATGTGGCCAATTGCGTGATTGTTTGGCAGATGGTTGATCTTTTGTCTTGGTCTTTCTCTTCCTTTCCCCCATCTCCACTGCTTATCCCCTCACTGATCCGCCCATCCTGCACCTCGAGGACCCCAGCGCTTCCCCAACCCAAAGCCACTGCCCACGATCCGCCTCGTGCCTGAACCGACCTCGGCCGACGCCCTCGTCACAATGTGCGAAACCGACGTTCGCACTGCAGCGGCTTGCTCGACCTCTTGATCTCGCTCTAATCTCGTCTTGTTGTACCAGGATTTGTTTTCCGCCCCTGGCAATGTCTAGAATCATCGTCTCATGTGCTACTCTGGCCCGTTTTCCATCCCAAAGGAAGATATGTTCGGCTTTTATCAAAGTGTCTTCAATGTATTTGGGCATGCCCTGAACTCTGGTTAGATATTGTGTTCGGCCTCCAATCACCATGTTGATTATATGCTGTTTGCCCTCGAGACCGGGTGATGTTAGTTTCCATCTCTCGAGGTCACTGTTAATTTTCTCAACTACACTGGGCCATGGCGTAATGTATGGCACATTATTTCCGATCCATGCGCCCGACATGCGGCAAGTTTGACCATCGGGAATTACTCTCATTGTTTCTTCAATCGCGCCAATTCGCATCCTGTCATTTAGCCTTCTCTCCTGTAGCACCTTTGCCCGATAAATGGGTCGACCAAATGGCAAAAGGACTGTTTTGTGTTCATTAAAGCTCGCTGTTGATGCGGCACACCATAGACACAAAATTTCCCAGAGTTCTTCTAGGACATTACTGGATGACAAATATATTGTTGTATCGTCTGCAAAAAGTGAGACGATAAGCTCCTCATCTTTTCCAGGCACTTTAACGCCTTTAAGTTCTGAATCTCTTAACAAACAGGCCAGCAGCTCGATTGCCAGGTTAAATAAAAGACATGAGAGGGGATCTCCCTGTCGAACTCCCCGGATGACTATGAATGACTCACTAATCTCCCCGTTAATCATTACTACAGTCTCAGCATTTGTGTATAGGGCTTTGATTGCATTATAAAACTTTGGTGGGAACCCCATATGTTGAAGGACCCTCAATAGGTATGCATGGTTTATTCTGTCATAGGCCTTCTCCTGATCCAAAGCAACTATGAGTCCATCCTCTTCTGCTGCCTCGGCATAGTTCAGGAGGAATTTTGCAAGCTTCACCTGGTCCTCAATTTTCCTGCCCTTCATGAACCCAGCTTGGTTAGGGTGCACCAGAGATGGGGCAACATCCATCAGTGCTAAAGAGTAGGTCTTTGTCATTAACTTGTAGTCGCAGTTTAGTAGGGTGACTGGCCGATAATTACTGATTACGGATTTATCTCCCTTCTTGAAAATTGGGCATAGCCATCCAGCGTTGAATTTACAAGTCTCAACCATTCCATATTTCTCAATGTCGGCGTACAGCTTGGTCAGGAAGGTCACTACGTCAAAAAATTTCTGGTCAGCACCTTTGCTCTGCCGGAATAAGATGTCCAACATCTTGTAGAATTCATATGGGATCCCATCAAGTCCTGGGGACTTTCCATTGTTTGAGAGTTTTAGTGCACAGTCCACGTCTCCCGATGACATTTCCTTGTTCATTTCATTGAATTGGCTTTCTGATAGTCGGGCCTTGCATCCCTCTAGGGTAATTTCGGTTGCCATAATCCTCCCACACTCATCTGGCAGGTTGTTGAATTGTATCGAGTTATGGTAATCTCTCGCCATCTTTGCCATCTGTTTTGGGCGAGTTTCGTAACTTGGTACCGGTTCCTCTGATTCTGAGTTTTTCTTGAACTCATTTATGGAGTCCTTTGGGCAGTGGTATTTTGCAGACTGCGTCCATGATTTCGTTCGCAATGTTTCACCTTCAACATCATAACGAGGCTCAGCTGAAGCTTTCTTTCTTTCCGCTTCTTCTTCCAGACACTTGTGGATTTTATTTTCGAGCATGTAGATAGCCTCAGACTTATCCTGTAGGGGCATATCATCATCGTGGAGGAATAGAGTCAATTGAGCCTTCCAGGTCCGAATTTGACGAGTTGATTCACTAGTAATGAATCGCGAGCAGTGCTTTCCGTATTTTGTGACATCCGACTTAAATTGTGCTCATAAGGTCTGAATATTCTGAGTTGGATTACGCTCACAGCTGTTCAAATCTTCGAGATGTGTCAAAAGTTTTGCCGCCAGAGCTTGCACTTGTTTCATGAATTTTGATGATTTCAACAGGTACTGTGGTAAGCTCCATCTTCCCTGTCCAGGTCACTCATCTCGACGGCATGTCAATTATACCATCACCAATCGGTGGTCGCTTTTCACCGGGCAATGCTTGATTGTCCAGTCTCTGTATGAATCATAGTCTTGGCTGTCCACATTTATTCGGTCAATTCTGGAGTACGAGTCGTGTACTTCATTTGTTCGTGAGTCTGTTGCGGGACATTTTCTCGTGCTGCATATGCATAGGCCAAGGGGTGTTCCCAACTCTATGCATTATGAGAAAATGTAGCATTCTACTTATAGGCAAGTTGTCGACAACATGAAATAGGTGAACTTGACTCGAGTGGCCTTCAGATCTCAGATTCTCATCTTTGAATTCTGCAAGCTTACTTATCACTCGAATTATTGAATATGTTGCACGATCTAAGAGAAATATGTTAAGCCAATTTAAAGTACACACAGAGATTGCATGAATTCCTGTCTACATCTCGGCGGGCATCCGGTCAAAATTCAGTCAACAACCAGATGCAGAATGAGCCCAAGGAAATATGTCCAGACAGATGTCCTCGCAGCGGCCACCACATCTGATTTAGGTGTGCTGCCGGATGTATAGGCTCAAAACCAGCCTGTAGATGAGAGACGAGTCTCAATCTACATGACAGCTTTGCTTCATAGACAGACCGGCTCCGATCTACCGGATCATGGATGTATATTGACTGGTAGAAAGAGCTGGCCACCAGGAATGCAAACACTGGGAGACAGCTGGATTTGCAGCCACGTTCCCCAACCGGCCACAATGTGGCTTAGAGGACAATGGCAGCTGAGTTAATTGATGGCAGAGATTTGGGCAAATCATCTGATCGTCACCATTTGGCGGTATATGACTGAGAAAATATTTCCAAAATAGAGATCTTATGATCTCATCAGCATACACTGTTGTGGTCCGATGGTGTAGTTGGTTTATCACATCTGCTTCACACGTTTTTGACGCAGGCGGTCCTCGGTTCGATCCCGGGTCGGATCACTTTTTTTTCGTTTCTTTTCTTTTCGACATACATCCAAACGTTTGCCGGTTCAGATAAAACGCCTTCCGTAAATACGATACGATGTCGCGTCTTATCTTAGCATTCTAAATCGACTTTTGCGATCGGTCTCAACGGGGTCTGACGGCGTTTACAGCACCCGCCAAGAAACCATCAAGGCATTCGGGCTCCTCAAATTCGCCGCCCGTGACAACTTCCCAACGGTATCTCCATGGGACGCCCCAAAGATTCATTAAAATACGGTCAACATGGCAATGCCAGCGCACCCACAGCTGGATCTGTGCCTGGTGCTGCTATAATGTCCCCTCGGTTTCTCAACCTCAACCCACCCCCGACAGTTCAAGGACAGTTGTCTTCGATTTACGACGGGAATGACGACCCCAGGACCCCACTGCTCTCAGCCCATCGGAAGAGGGAAGACGACGATGTATGGCGTTCCCGAAGGGTATCGTGGACAAAGCGACACCGACTGCTCATTGTCACAATCTTGTGCATCCTCGCTACCGGTTCTGTGGCCATATTCCTGTCCCGCGAAAGAATATCTGGAGTCATCGTGTCACTCTCCGTAGAAGCACCATCTCAAGCCCCAGAAATAGCAGAACCCGAATCCGACGAGATATTCGAGACGCCAATCGACGATCCCGTTGAACAAGCGCGACTTGACATCGAAGCTCTGTTCGCCCGCCAGTCCAAAACGCTGGAACAAGCGATCGCGCGATACACCTTGAAGAGGGGCCGCTCCCCTCCACCAAATTACGACCGCTGGTTTCAATTCGCCCAAGAACGAACATGTCTGATCGATGAATACGACCAGATCTACCGCGACTTCGAACCATTCTATCGGATGGCGAAGGAGGACGCCATCATTTCCAAAGGATGATCGAGCGCGGCGTATCGAAGATCCACGAAAGCCCGGTGGAAATCGCTGTTGTGGAGATCAAGGACGGAGAGGTGCATCTTGACGCTGGGCCAGAAGTGGCGTATATTTCCAATTGGCCAATAACACTGGGACGAGTAGGGTCTTTGTTCGACGTTGATTTGCTTCTGGCTGAATTTCATACCCAGTTCTCAGCTTATCTTCCGGACATGAAATTCCTCCTAAACTCTCGCGACGAGCCTCGCGTGGTATTCAACCTCCGCGACGAAGGCGCATTGGAAAAAGCATTCCGCCCCGAAGACCCGACCCCGTTCGAAATCGCACCGCGGCCGACAGGGGAGTTTTTCAAGCACCAGAGCGGGTGCGTGATTACCCAGAAGACCCCTGGATTTGCGAACAGTATCAACGATGACACTGCGTGTGGGTATATTTATTCGACGAACCGTCGTCGAGTCTGATTCAAGTCAACAGTCTTAATCTCGAGCGCAAAACCGGGATTTACCACAGACCTGTACCCGCTCATCAGTATGGCCAAGATATCGCCCTGCTTCTCTGACATTCTGTTTCCCACCGAGGTATGCACGTTATTCCAGCTCGCCAACTTGGATAACGATACTTGCCAGTATTACTACGATCAATCGTGGTGGTCAGGGACTTTTGAGTACCCCGACAACGTACCCTGGGAGAACAAACAATCATCGATCTGTACGTGTAGAATTATTTGATTTGGTGTTGCAAGGTTGAATTCTTTCCCCAGACTGGCGCGGAATGTCCAACGGCGGGCAGATCATTGGTCAGAACTTCCATGCGTTTCCGCGATTCAAGCTGGTCGATTTGGGCCGCCAGCACCCCGATCTCATGAACGTTGCCATCACGAGGTTCGCGGAGACGCTGTGTCTCGAGGGCTGCGACCGCGAGGCGGTGATAGCAGAATACAACATCACCGGCGAAGGCCAGCCGCGCGAGGACATATACAACTACAAGTACGTCATCGACGTAGATGGAACGACTTTTTCGGGACGATATCTGGGCCTTCTCCGGTCGGGCTCGTTGGTGTTCAAGGTCCGTTGATTTCACGGACTTGTGGGTTCTGAGACTGATTAAAATCATCAGGCAACGGCGTTCGAGGAATATTTTAATGACTGGCTGCGGCCGTACGAGCACTATATTCCCGTCCTTCCGGACCTCTCGGATCTTGTAGAAAAAATAGAGTGGGCCAACGCAAACCCGGAGGAGGCGAGGGCGATACAGCAACGTGGGATGCAGGTTGCGACGAAAGTCGTGACAGACGACCAGAATGACTGTTATTTCCTCGCAGTTTTGCTGGAGTGGGCGAGATTACAAGAGTATGGCCGGACGCTTCATATGTAAAATGTTAGCAGACGAATGAATTGTCCAGAATTATCACTGAGAATTCAACGTGATCAATGATGGGATCATATTCCACCTTTCCTCTCACCATCACCTTTTTTCTCCATGTTGCGCTGAAAGGCTGGCGGATTATGGTCAACGAAACCTGTTGTGATGGATACCAAGTCGCGGTCGCCGTTGCCTCAGGTTGCCGCCCTTTTTTGGTCCGCCATTCTTAGCCGCTGCCAGTGGCAACGCTGGCCAAATGCCAGCGCTGTAACAACCCTGAACAACAAGCTGTGCCGCCCACCTATAAATGTTGGCCATGCTCGATTCGCACGCTAGCAGCCGGTCTGCTCCCCCATCGTTGCACAGCAGAGCTGTTTAACTCGATATTCAAGCAATGGCCCTTTCTCTCTCTCATTCTCGGATCCGAATCCAAACCATACACGCGGTTGCCAGATTCAGAAGACGGCACGGATCCGCAGACACAACTGCTCTCGTCGAGACTTCCAAAGAGCGAGGCCACGACGAAGAGAGCGATCTTCAACGCCAGCGGGGGCAGCACTCTTGGGCCTGGCGGCACCGTCTTCGGGATCTTGTGATCTCTGCCGCCGGGGCTATTCTCGCGGAGAGGCGTCTGTCTGTCGGGCCTGCCAGTGGTGAGCCAGAGCCCGACGTCGACGTGGAGGTCGCTGCTCCGGAAATACACGATCCACCACGGCAGAAGCGCCCACGTCACCGCCGCGCGTCTCGAAATCGACGCGCTTTTCGCGCGGCAGTCCCACACGCTCGCGCAAGCCACGGCGCGGTACGCGCTCAAGAGCAGTCGGGCGCCCCCGCCCAATTTCGACCACTGGTTCCGCTTCGCGCGCGAGAACAAGTGCTTGGTGGATGAATATGACCAGATTCACCGCGATTTCGCGCCGTTTTACCAGCTAGCGAAGGAGGATCCGGCGTTTTTCCAGAAGATGATAGACCGGGGATCGGCCAAGGTGGGTTTCCCATTTCTACAATATCAATAGCACAGCTGGAATGATAATTGATTAATATGCTCGACCCGACCTAGATGTTGAAAGATCCGAAAGGGATGACGACGATCAAGATCAAGGATGGGGCGGTGCATATGCCAGGATACCAGGGGACGTCGTATTTTGGAGATTGGCCGCGCACGCTAAGACGGGTACGTCTATTCGTTGTTCAAGTTGTTGTTTCTTGGGCGCCATTATTAATCGCGATAAAAATAAATAGTTCGCGGAGCATTTACCCGACATGGACTTTATGCTGAACGGGCGCGATGAGCCGCGCGTGCTGTTTGACTACCGCGAGTTCGGCGCCAGGGCAGGCGCTGAAGATCAGCGACCCGACGCCATTTGAAATCGTGCCGCACCCCACGGGGGTGTTCTTCAAAACCGCCCCGGGTGCGGGGTTCCGAAATCCTCGGCGGGTTTCGCGGAGAGCGCAGTGATGACGTTGCTTGTGCGTTTCATTCATCCATACATCCGCTTGATGCGTGTGCGTATGTGTATGCACGCGAGCTAATTACACGTCAGTCCTCCGCTCGAGCTCAAGCTCCGATTTTACGGTGGATCTCTACCCGCTGCTTTCGATGACGAAGATCTCGTCCTGTTTTTCGGATATATTGTTTCCTGGTCAGGTAAATACGCCCGATTTAACTTCTCACCCGCTCCGCGAATTCAAATTGAAACCATTTGTGCGCGCAGTACTTCTACGACAAATCGGGCTGGTCCGGCAAGTTCGCGTATCCGGACAACGTCCCCTGGGAAGAAAAAAGTCACAGTTGTGTACGTATTTTTTCCGAGCTCAGCGAGTAGCAACGTATCTGAGTCGAATTTACATGTATACCTTAGACTGGCGCGGGATGTCCAACGGCGGACACATCATCGGGAGAACTTCCGCCGCTTCCCGCGCTTCAAGCTCATCGAGCTCGCGCGGAACCATTCTGATGTTCTCGACGTCAAGATGACGCAGTTTGCCGAGTCGCATTGCACGGAGGGGTGCGACCGCGACGCCATCATCGCGGAGTACGATATCCACGGCCCAGGGGACGCAAGGGAGGCGGCGTATGGGTACAAGTATCTGCTCGACGTCGACGGAATACGTTTCCGGGCGCTTTTTGGGCCTGCTGCGGTCGGGTCGCTCGTGTTCAAGGTGCGTGAGGCTACTCGCGTGGGGTGTGTGTAACTGATACACTGCAGTCCACCGTCTTTGACGAATACTTTAACGACTGGCTGCGGCCGTACGAGCACTATATCCTGTGCTGCCGGACCTCTCGGACCTGCTGGAGAGGGTGGCGTGGGCGGAGGCGCACGTGGAGGAGGCGCGTTTGATTCAGGAGAGGGGAGACAAGTGGCGGAACGGTGGTCACGGATGCGCAGAATGACTGCTATTTCTTCGCGGTGCTGCTCGAGTGGCACAACTGCAGGAATACGCGAGAGAGGTTCGGAATAAGTAGAGCGAGTAAAATACACGGAGTTAAATGGATATCAGATTTGGCTTGTCCGGCGAAGATAAGGCGCAACGCTCTGGTCGCGCCCCTACTCTAGCTTCTCTAGTTCTTCTAGGCGTAATAGAACAACGTCCTTGCTGGTTTCTTGGATCTCTCCGGCGAGAAGATCTCGTCTAGGATTGCGTAGACCTTCGAGACGATAAGCATCATGGTAGCACAGGTGAGCCACTGACTTTGTAAAAGTTGAATACCAAGTCCAGTTCGTTCACATTTCGAAGTAGTTG